TTGCCCATACCTTTCCCCCTCCTGACTCTCCACCAAATCTTGCCCATGCCTGTGCCCCAGCCTGGCATACCCTCTTTCCCTTCTCCCACAGACCACCACAGCAGCCTCTCCATCCTTCAGCATCCGTGTTACCTTGAGGCCCCACCCTGCTTACCCCTCTGCCCTCTCCATTCCACTATGATGTTCTCACCTGTGGAAGGGAACAAGATCACCTGTGAGGTGTCCTCCAGCTCCTCTGGCTCGACTTCAGTGTCTTCAAGGATGTCTCTCCGGTGTACCCTCCTTGCTTCCATCTGGGGCTCCTCCTGGAGAAGTGGGGGGCTCAGATGCTCCAGCACCCGAGCCCGCACCTTGGCCAGGATGAGCTGCCTGTCAGCACCCGCCCCAGTGCAGCTGGCCAGGGCCGCAGTGGGCAGCATGGCAGGCAGCAGGTGCAGGAGGAGCAGCATGACCGTGGGGTGTGCAGCAGGCCAGTGGCTCAGGGGGCTCTGCCGTGGGCTTCTGCCTGCCTGCCCAGCCTGTCTGCCCGCTGTACTCCCCCTGGGGCAGGGTGGCATTGAGATCTATCTGACACTGACGCAAACGTCTGCTCGCCGTGAATATTATCTCTGGGCTGTGAAAGCGCTGAGATGTCTGGAATGTGAGGACTGCAAGGACAGTGTGGTCTGGAGGGGGGCGGGCAGCGCCTGGGCAAGGGGTGTGTGTGTGGGGGATGCTGCTGGGAGCAGCGGGTGCATGGGGCTGGGGAGGCCGTTCTGTGGGCAGGGTGCTGCCAGGAAGGTTTTCCTGTGCTGGCAGGGATGGAAGGGGGCATCCTGAGCAAGCTTTGCAGCTGCTGGTGCTGGGTGCCCCCCACAGTGGAGGAACTGGAGATCTGCAGCTTCAGGGGGGATAGTGGGAGGTGACAGCAGTTGTGCACAGCAGGGAAATCTGGGCAAGGACCTGATGGGATTCAGAGCCCTATGAGGCTCTGGCATGGGGGAGGCAAGTTGGGGTGTACAGGCTGGGCACTAGGATCTCTGGGACAAGCCAGGGCAACCATGATGTGAGGACAGGGCCCTAGGGAGGGCTGGCTAGGGGTGGAGTGGCTGTGGCATCTCCAGGATAGTCTGGAATCTGGCAAGGTCCTGGAGACATGAGGCAGGAGGGACAGCAAGAGGTCCCTGGGGCTGGGACTGGGGAATGCTGGGCCAGCTTCAGGGAGAGAAGAGGTGAGGCAGAGCCAAACCAGCTGGAAACCCTGCAGCAGGCAAAGGATCCTGGAGTGCTCCATGGGCTGGCTCACAGGGTGGAAGTTGCAGGAGAGGCATAGGCATAGGCTGCAAGGGGACCCGGTGCCCTTCCTCTAATGGCTACCTGAGGGGACACTGCCAGGTGTTCCTGCCCTGTGAGTGGTGGGCAGCCTGTGTATCCCCTCTGCTCCTCCCACAGCCCAGTGTCCTGCACATCCCATGCACAGCCTGGCACCTCATGCAGCATCCAGTGCGGTACATCCCACCCCATGCAGCATGTCTCGCATGGCATGTCCTCTCGCACTGCAGTCTGGTGTCCCACTCCATATACCCCACACCATGTGCCCCATGCTGTGCATCCCACATGGTGCATTGTCTCCTGCTGCTGGCTGAGCTATCATGGAGCCACAGCTGGGGCCGTGGCACCCCAGCTCTCTGGAGTGGCTCCCGCCAGGCTGCTATACATAGGTAGGCCAGCCCTGCCTCAGTGAGGCGCTGAATGGAGCAGGCTCGGTCTTATCAACCCAGCGTGTCATCAGAGGGTATTTTTGGGGACAGCAGCTGCAGGCATTTATAACGTTTGGTCCCTGTGCACTGACACCCAGGAGCTGAGCTGGAGGAAGCAGCAGGAGCTGGGCACCAGCACTGGGAGACACAGGGGAGAGGCAGCGGACCGAGGTGCGTGTGTGGAGATGGGGACTGGGCTGAGGGGCTGTCTGGGGCAGGGTGATCAGGGAAGGGGGTGGTTAAACGGTGCAGTGGGGCAGCTGAGCCATCAGGTCTGTCTGCATCTGCAGAGGCAGCTGTGGAGTGGGCTGTGGGTCAGGGGAGTTTTTGGCCGGGGAGGTGGCTCTGAATGGATGCACTGTTCCAGGGGTAGGGCGCTGGGAGGAGAAGCTGGCCCCAGTCCTTCTCACTCCTTGGGGAAAAGCCCTCTCCCACCATCCCCTCTGGCTCATTCAGGGAGTATTCTTGTTTCCCCTCCCCCTGCCCGAGCAAGGTAGAGACGGATATTGCCCCAGCCCCGGCCATGGTGTGGGCAGAGGCTGCAGTGCACTCACCCGGGGGAGGCACAGAGCACCCTGCCCTGCTCCTGCCTGTGATAGTGGGCATGGTTACCCAGAAAGCTGGGGATGGAGGCAATGCCCTCCAAAAGCAGGACCCACCTCCCCAGCCTTATCTTTGCCCCTGGGGCTGATTATTTCCAGTCATGACTTTCAGTG